ATGGAAGCCCAGGTTTCTTTGATAGCGGCCTTCAGGTCATCTGCATTGTTGGGTCTGGTGTCTCTCATCTTCCTCTTGACAATACCCCATAGATTCTCTATGGGTTTCAGGTCAGGCGAGTTTGCAGGCCAATCAAGCACAGTAACACCATGGTTATTGGACGGCAGGGTGAATAGGGTGGGAGGAGAGGTAGAAGGTACAGATGAATTTAAAATGAAATCAGAATTTCTCTAATTGACCATGTAGGCCTCCCAGCCACAATGAAAGAGGCCTATGGAGATGTTGAAGGAGTGTCAAACATTGATTCGACATTCACAGTTTTTTCCCCCTAATTTTCCCACAATGCATGACCAGCAAGAATGTATTCTACAAAGATGAAATTCTCTTTCAAATGTAATTGAAAGGTATGATCAATGATATGATCAATAATTCAGTGATTGCTGTACTGCACAACAGCAAACACACCCACACACACACACATTTAGGCCACAATTCCACCACAGCACTGTGAAAGACTGATCTCCAGTTATCAGAAGCGTTTGGTTGCAGTTGCTGCAAAAGGTGGCACTACCAGATTTTAAGTTTAAAGGGCCAATGATTTTTCACATGGTTGATACCGTACCCTCCACTAATATTGACACACTTGGTAAATATGAGCAAAGTTGGCTGTGAAAATAAATCTGCATCGTTTATCCTTTTGATCTTTCATTCAAAAAATTCACAAAATTAGAAGTCAACAATGGAAAGTGTGTGTGTGGGGGGGGGACGGATCTCATTATGAAATAAATGTTTCTCTCTGGTTCATGTTGGCCACAATTATTGGCACCCAATTATTGCAACTTGCTTTTCCTAAGATAACAGCTCTGAGTTTTCTCCAATAGTGCCTGATGAGTTTGGAGAACACCTGAAAAGAGATCAGAGAACATTCCTTCACAGAATCACTCCAGATCGCTTCTTCTCTTCAGTTCATCCCTCTCATTTTCTATAGGGTTCAGGTCAGGGAACTGGGCAGAAGCTTCATTTTGTGCTCAGTGAGACATTTTTTGTGTTGATTTGGATGTTTGTTTTGGATCATTGTCCTGATGGAAGATTCAACCACGGCCCATTATAAGATTTCTAACAGAGGCTTAGGTTTAGATATTTTTTATCTGTTGGTATTTGATAGGATCCATGATGCCAATATCTGAACAAGATGTCCAGGACCTCCGGCAGAAAAACAGGCCCACAACATTAAAGATCCAGCAGTATATTTAACTGTGGGCATGGGGTACTTTTTATCCGTTTGCACCAAACCAATCTGGTGGGTTTGCTGCCAAAAAGCTCTTTTTTTAGTTTCATCTGACCATAGAAGCCAGTCCCGTTTGAAGTTCCAGTCGTGTCGGACAACTGAATATGCTGAACACTCCTGAACAACATGTGGTGATTATAGGGGCTATTTGATATTTTATTTTTTGGGCTTTCTGACCCCAAGACTCAACTAATCCTTGGAGAGTCTTTGGCCACTCAAACTCTCCTCCTCACCGTGCATTAGGACGATATAGTCACACGTCCTCTTCCAAGCAGATTTGTAACATCTTTATTTGATTGGAACTTCTTAATTATTGCCCTGATGGTGGAAATGGGGATTTTCAATGCTTTAGCTATTTTCTTACAGCCACTTTCTATTTTGTGAAGCTCAACAATCTTGTTCCGCACCTCAGAACTATATGGTTTGGTTTTACTCCTCCTGATGGATGATTAAGGGAATTTGGTCTGTGTGTTCCTCATATTTATAATCCTGTGGAACAGGAAGTCATGGCTGGACAATTTCATGCTCCTAGTCACCCTGGTGTGCTAAACAATGGGAATATACTTCAGAGGTATTTTACTCATAAGATTTTCTTGGGGTACCAATAATTGTGAATTTTTGAATGAAAGATAAAAAAGATAAACAATGCAGATTTATTTTCACAGCTGCCTTTGCTCATATTTACCAAGGGTGCCAATATTAGTGAAAGACGCATTTGTGCATCTATTGCTGAAAATGTTCTAAAACAATAGAGAATACACATGTAGTTTTGACGTTAGAATTTACTTTTAATAAATGCATTACTAGAAAAAAGTACAGTGATTCATTTTGCAGTAAAGTTGAACTAAGGTAAGAGTGTTTAGATGACTGTGGATTTATCGGCCAACATATCGGTTATCGGCTTTCAAAAATAAAGAATAATCGGTTATCGGTATCGGCCAAAATTTTCATATCGGTGCATCCCTAGTTAATTGTTTTGAGAGCAATCACATTCCTCTGGAGATATGTCTCAAATCGACTGAGAAAAACTGTATTAGAAATGACAGATAGACTTTGCAACAACCACAGAGTTCTATAGGAAAGTACTATACTGGGAGCACGTGTAGCACTGACATTTCAGCAGAAATGTGGCGGAAGTCGACGCCATTAAGTATACATAGACCATAAGTGAGATTATCTGACATCTGAAGTTTGCGGAAATATGGCACGAGACGCCTTTGCAGTTTAGTTCAAACAATTGCTCTTTTTATAGAGGAGGAAGTTCTGAGTTCAGAAAGTTATGTTTCCATGGCGCAGCAACATTCCTGACATTTTTCTTGATTATTGAGATAAAAGATGTTGGAGAGTGGAGCGTAAATAAGCAGATGTCACAATTCAAATGAAAAAGCTTTATTACCCACAGCTTTTTACAGTGTACAGGTGTAGTGCATTAAGCTTTAATGTGTAAACTACTCAGCAACTTCACTGGAGGGACAAGTAGTGTTTTCACCATTGCAACTTATACTTTTACATAAATTATTAAATATCTTATTTGGCAATATTATACAAATGGGCAGGAAGAAAACGGAGAAGTCAGTGTGTTTCATTTGCCCACTAAACTATGAGACAGGATGGAGGAAAACTGCACAAGTAACAAAATATTCACTGTTTAGTATGGCGTGTATTCTGCATTATACATGTAGCCTTACTTTTAACACAAAATAGCACTAGATCATTTGTGAAAGATATGAATGTACACAAAGATAAGGAGAATAAGAACACAAGCGCAGAACATCTACAGCATTAATGTTTACAATAACTTCAAGAGCACAGATGCATGTACAGTCCCACTGAAAATGAGGCAGCGCCGATGGTCACGCTTGTGCCAACTCCTTCTCAAATCTACTCAAGCGTCAATGTTCGTATACATGACATCGCTTTCTTCGCTTCTCCCACATTATGGTTTAGGTGATACTGCTATCATATGAAAATGTCCAACACAGTGTATGGCAGGTTTTAAAACATTTCAAAGAATGTAAACAAATACTGTGCAGATCCAAACATATTTGGCAGCGCTGATGTTACGCAACAGCATGAATACAGAAATGCACTTTTTTCATAGTAGCAGGCAGTGTGAGCACATATGGTGTCGGCCGGATTTAAACCATGCACAAGATAATGAATTAGCACTGAAGAGTACATCCATGCACACGTAAAGAGAAGTACATGAAGCATGGGCTGAGAGCGCGTCATGCGTGTTACAGGAAAGAAACCACAAGATACAACGATCTTTACAACTCTGATTGCCTCCATAATGTTTCTCTTATAATCAAATCACACTGTAACAGGATCTGAGCAAGACAATCTAAGAAGGATCATGAAAATAACACTTAAAGGAACAGGTCACCCAAACTTCTGGCATTATTTACTCGCGCTCATTGTTGTTCCAAACATGCAGTTGTTGTTTGTTTTCAGTGGAAAGCGGAATTTTTTGAAGAATCTATGTATTTTTACACTATACAACATTAGTTCATATAGACTAAAAATATATTTTTTAAAAATCTCACAAAAGTTGTACGGACTACTTTTATTATTATTTTTTTTTTAGCTTGACAGGAGTGTTCTAAAATCAAAGCAACATACAGATTTAGACTGCCATGAGAGAGAGTAAAAAATGACTTTCTGCAGAGAGAAAATACTTCTGATACAGGACACTTGTCCCTTAGGGCTTGATAAGTTAGGCGTGCCAAACACCTACTAGCTGTCGGCAATCTATCGTTTATGCTTTGCTATATTTTTGAGGTCTAAACAAAGATAGGCCTGTCTGACCATTCTTCAGTAAAGTGCAATATTCAGCGTAGTGCACACTAAAGGGCAGGCAGTGAGTAAGCGGTCCACATGGAACAGATTGTAGAGATGGGTGAATAGCTGAGATAAACTCACTGCAGATGTGTTCTCATTTAGAGATGCACTACCGGTGCGTCACAGTAACCTCCAATGAGTGGACAACGCCAGGAGGAAATTCGAAAATACAGAAAAAAGTCCCCCGTAGGTAACTTTCATTAGTAAAGCTTACTGCGGGTTTCCTCATTTGGCAAATGTTTAGCAGCTTTTTAAAGGGTTAGTTCACCCAAAAATGATAATTCTGTCCTTAATTACTCACCCTCGTGTCGTTCCAAACCCGTAAGACCTTCGTTCATCTTCGGAACACAGTTTAAGATATTTTTGATGAAATCTGAGGGCTCTCTGACCCTCCATAGACAGCAAGGTAACTACCACGTTCAAGGTCCAGAAAAGTACCAAGATGATCGACAAAGTAGTCCGTGTGACATCAGTGGTTCAACTGTAAAGTTACAAAGCTACGAGAATACTTTTTTGCACAATGAAAACAAAAATAATGACTTTATTCCACATTTTCGTCTCTACTGCGTCACTTTGGACGCGCGTTCACGACAGTAGCATGACGTGAGCTTGTGGAGGCGCTGAAGCTTCGTAACTTTACAGTTGAACCACTGATGTCACACGGACTACTTTGTCGATCATCTTGGTACTTTTCTGGACCTTGAACGTGGTAGTTACCTTGCTGTCTATGAGAGGGTCAGAGAGCCCTCAGATTTCATCAAAAATATCTTAAATTGTGTTCCGAAGATGAACGAAGGTCTTACGGGTTTCGAACAACACGAGAGTGAGTAATTTTAGTAATTTAAGCATTTTTGGTTGAATTAAAGCTAAGTTTAATAGTATGCTGTGTTTTTCCCGCAAGTTGGCAACCAAAATCCCTTCACTTTGTAGTGAACTAAAACGTGTTTGATTCTTTATGGGCGTTGGATCATGTGGAGCCTGATTGCAGCTAGGGTTGTAAACAATTAAATTTTAAACACTATAAAAGCATAGTTACAGGTATACCAATTCATTTGAAACCATTATGAATAGCTGATCACACTGAAATAACTGAAAAAATGTATGAGTCATATGACGGGAATGCAAAACTACTGACTATTTGTTGATGGATTCTTTCAACAGTAACTAATTACCAGTGAAATTATATTTTTAACAGCTTAACTGGTATGCAAGTGTTGTTGCCAAAAATGTGCTGAAACAGGGTTGTTTGTTATAACTACCCTGTGATTCTCTTATGTGTTCTGAGTCATGGAATACCTTATGTTGACCTGGAGCGCTGCTGGTCTGCAAGGCTGATCTCTTCGACAAGTGCAAACATCACCGCAAAGGAGAGGTATGGAAATGACATAAGCTTTCCTGCAGCCATGCGGATTCCCTAACAAGACACCAACTCATAAAACCCATCAGTTTTTGTGTTGGGGCAGGGTGTGAATGCAAAACACGGGTAGGCTTCAGTGAAGGCGTGCCAAAAGTGTGATATGCAGTCTAATCTTAAAGAAAACAAAGTGACAATAAAAAGAGAGGTGAAAGCAAGCAAAAGGTACTCTCGGTCACGGCATGCAATACACACACTTGAACGAACGGCTCTTAGATTACTTCAGTTGTTTCTATGGCGCCCCCTGGGTGCACAAGCAATACACAACACAAACACATTCCACTGGCTATGCCTCTAGGTTTGGCAGATACATTGCAGATCACTGTAAAGTGACAGGAAACTTCATGGTTTAATGGCTGATGGGTGTCAGTGTGATGTGATTTACGCTTGCTCCAGAAGCCACTGGAAGAGGCTCTTGTGGCCGTTCCTTGTGTTCCCGACCTCTTCCTCAGAGCGACGTTCTTCAAAATATCTCAAAAGAGCCTGGAGGAGGTCGCCGACCCTGAACTCTCTCTCCCTCAGCCTCTGCGCTACGGCCGGCAGCTGGAGCCAGAGAAAAACACACAAAATTAAGCTACAGTTTTGGATCTCAAACATCCTGATAGATAAGTGTTGGGTGATAAAGCTGAAACATGATCCAAAATGTAATTAAAGTAACGCTTTTTAAAGATACTTAATTTTTACCTATGTATTTGCTCTGAAATGGCAGGGTATTTTAAGGTATTTTGTTATTAAAATAGGATTTATTATGTATTACTAAACATATAGCAAAAATTTAAGTTGAAAAGTTCAAATAGTCAAATTTTAAACTGAATTCAAAAATGTGCATCAGCACTCAAAAATGTTCACCTAAGTTCCCATGTGGCATTTTACATATATTAAAATATTTTCTCTCTTTTTTTTTTATAAACATGCTTACAAAATATTTCCGTACATTTAAAACACACACACACACTTTCAAAAGTTAGATTTTTCTCTTATGCTTACTCAGTCTGCATTTATTTTTTAAAAAGCATACAAAAAATACAGTAAAACAGTAATATTGTGAAATATTACTAGAATTTAAAATAACTGTTTTGTATTTGAATAAATTTTAAAATGTAATTTATTCCTTATTTTTTTCAGCTTCATTACTCCAGTCTCCAGTGTCACATGATCCTTCAGAAATCATTCTAATATACTGATGTGATGTTTAAACATTTCTTCTTATCAATTATCAAAACTTTTTGTGGACATTTTTGTTAAGATTTTTTTCAGGATTCTTTGACGCACAGAAAGTTCAAAAGAATATAATTTATTTGTAATAGATTTTTTTTGTAGCATTATAAATGTATTTACTGTCACTTTTGATCAATTTAATGCATCCTTTGCTGAATAAAATAATTATATAAAAAAAACGGTAGTGTATATATATAGTTATATTTTTATTATTTTATTTTTTGTTCATAAAATTGACATTCACAGTATTATTTAAAAAAATTTATTGTAAACATAGTAAATATTAATAAATATATTTCATAGGCCTTGATAAATAAAAAAATAAAACATCTTATTTAATTGGTTTAACTTTTGGGGTTGCAATATACTGTACTTGATAATTCATATAAGTTAATATCTATGATAATACTAAGAAGTGCTGGGGCTGACATATTACAAGTAACGCGAGTTACATAATCAGATTACTTTTTTTTCAAGTAACTAGTAATGTACTACTTCTTAATTTACAAGAAAATATCTGAGCGACTTTTTCAAGTAAGTAACGCCAGTTACTGTTTTCCCATTTATTGAATGACAGCTCTCTTGTCCCCGTGTTGAGAGAAATTGGGAGTGAGGGCAGGGTCGCTGTGTGTGTTGTGTAAGCATGATGCTTACTGTAGTTCTAGACTACAGGCCAGGCCAGATGAGGAAAAAGTAATGCAAAGGGAATGTAACACATTACTTTTCATAAAAAGTAACTAACACTATTCATTACTTTTTTAGGGAGTATACTTTTTTTTCAAGTAACTAGTAATGTACTACTTCTTAATTTACAAGAAAATATCTGAGCGACTTTTTCAAGTAAGTAACGCCAGTTACTGTTTTCCCATTTATTGAATGACAGCTCTCTTGTCCCCGTGTTGAGAGAAATTGGGAGTGAGGGCAGAGGCGCTGTGTGTGTTGTGTAAGCATGATGCTTACTGTAGTTCTAGACTACAGGCCAGGCCAGATGAGGAAAAAGTAATGCAAAGGGAATGTAACGCATTACTTTTCATAAAAAATAACTAACACTATTCATTACTTTTTTAGGGAGTAATGCAATATTGTAATGCATTACTTTTAAAAGTAACTTTCCCCAACACTGATACTAAGTGTTCTCACCTGCTGCAGCTCCTGGGCTGAGAACTGGCTCAGCTGCATTAAAGACAGATCAGTGATAGAAGCGGCGATCCACTGGAGCACAGCCGTCAACTGGGGGTCCACAGCTCGACCCTGGACATCTGTACTGACCACCAGCAGAGCTCTTTCTGCCGGCCCATGCTCCCTCTCCACTCGCACCGCTCCTGCACGGACAAAACACACACGTTCAGCCCATACATACACACAAAAACCATCACCTTCAGCAAACCAGTTCCCACGCTCTCTCTGTTAACTAGGCCAGACACAGAACCCTGCTTGAGCTCATCTGTTGACCCACATGGAGCCGGTCTGACAGTTAGACAACTAGGAACATAGATAAATAGTCTTGTGGCTTTGACAGGGGCGCGCTGAAGGTGCTTGGCCAAGTAAGACCACTTTAAATGAGAGGCAGCACAAAAATAAGGGCTGAAATTAGTCTAACAGTTGAGGTCTAACAACAGACCACAGAATAAACACCAGCACTGGAGAAAAATATAAAGAACAGATATAGTTTTTATTTACCGCCTGAATCCTCTTTGGCCTCAGCTTCCTTCTCTTCAGTGCCGTCGCTGTAAGGTGAAAAATATTGCAGGTGTAAGAACAGTCTCACTGACAGACTGAAGGGAATGACACCACAAACCACATGCAGAAGAGAGTGACAGGAGCTCCCAGCTTCCCAGTTCTCATATAAACCAGCTCCAATACGGTTTCAGCTAGAAATCATGGCATATTTATGACTTACCCATACTAACAGATATTGATGCCATACTTTTTTTAAAAATAGATTTTTCTTGATGCCTTCAACTGAATGACTGATTTGGGGTGTGGCATTATGGGGAAAAAAAAATCCTCTTAACATTCATGCAATCAGAGGAACAACATTTTCTACCAATCAAAATATTGCTTAATTTAATATTGGCAGATGAATCAGCAGTATATCATAAATATTTGTTGTCCAGCCCTGATTTGGATGGGCATTTAGTAGTAAAATTAAATCAGCATATAAGAATGAATTCTGAAGGATCATGTGACAGTGAAAAATGGAGTAATTGTTGCTGAAAGTTCAGCTTTGCATCACAATAATTATATTTTAAAATATATTAAAACAGAGATCATCCCTTTTAAATTGTAATATTTCACAATATTACCTTTTTTATTGAAGTTTTAATCGAATCAAGGAGACTTTTCAAAAATATTTTTTGAACTCTTAACAACCCTTAAATCTATTTTATTGTACTTGTACTCGCAGAACATAAGACAAGGAGAGATCATAAATCTTCGAAAATTTTACAGCCAAAAAAGCACAAAAAACACATTCACAGTGTTGCTTAATTTTATATCACCAGCAAAATCACTGCAAATATGAATATCATGAATAAGCCTAAGCCTCAATTGAAAAAAAAAAAAGACACCATAGGACACCATACTGAATTGGCCTAAACAGTCAACTATTTACAACTGATAACGTGCAATATTGTTAGATAAATCAGCAGTATATAATTAATATTTGTTGCCCAGCTCTGATTTTGTGTGACCATTTTCTAGCACAGGTTTAAATTAAATTATTAAAAAGTAAACAATCATGATTCTATATCGGTTTAAAAAAAACAAAAAAACATTAACTTTGTATGGAGTGAGTCACGATGAACTCTAATGCACATGATTCATGTTGTTGACCTGAACTTGTATGGGATTTAAGAGGCTGGGACATCCTTTTGCACTCAAACAGGAAGCATGCAATAAGAACAGATTGTTCATTCTTTAGTAAATACATCACAAAACACAATTCAAGTCAATGACCCAACCCCCCAATGCTTCCGACACCCACAATTCTACCAAAGCATACACAAAGATCCAATTGACTAAGTCCATCCCTAGAATGGGGAAACAAGGGGAAGTTTTGTTTCTAATAGGTGATATCAAATATGTTTTCAGCACTTGCTGATAAAAAATTGCATGACATCATGCAGTAATTAGAGCAGCCCACGCTGGCTATGCTGTGCCTCTTTCCATAGACCAACCTGTCTGATGGAGAGAAGGACAAATGCTCTTCATAAACCTCGCCTTCTAAACCCAGACTGCTCCAGCTACTGCTGTTTCCATTACTGCTGGAGGAGAGAAAAAGATGAAACACTACAAAAGTTTTTTTTTTTTTACACAATATTTGATGTTTATCTTGAGATTAATAATATATTTGTTATGGAAAGTTTTAAAGGGAGATTTTTTAAATTTCAGAAGAATCATTATTTCAACCAAACACCAGCTGTAGCTATTATAGTTTTAAAATATTTCATGCAAGATGTAAAAATGTTTTCCACTGTGTTATTCACTAAAATAACTTGTATATTTTTTACAAAAACATTTTAATGCTTGAAAGCTTATGCAAACAAATAGCTTGACCAGAGACAATTAACTGAAATTGATTCCCAGTTGTCAACTATAAATCATAAATGCAATGAAAACATCTGTAGTAACACTGAAACCCCCCCCCCCCCCCCCCTTACTCTAGAAACACTGCCTCAGGCTGACAACCACACCTTTCATAAATATTTTGATACATATTCATGGTATCTTGGGTTGTTCAAAACAAAAACTGCTCATACATTCTGACTTTTAGTGTCTTGGGAGATATTAAATTGTTGATAGAAAATGCTTCCATTGAGACACTGCAGCAAAAACACTACAAAACAATGCCTGCCTTTGAAAGACAAGACCGTGTGACTCAGCCGTCATGTTTTGAAGCCAAAGACAGTTACATTTATTCTGAGAATGAAAACAAGGCAGGACAAGGCCCTAGGTGTTCCTCAGAAAGTTGGAGAATGGAAAAATCAGCATCCCTGGCTTCAAAAATTGTAAAATGGTTTGTGTATAAAAGAAGAAAAAGAACAATAATAGTTCTTCAGCAAAAATGAGTCATACAGTTGATTCTCCTACTCCAAAACCTAAACTGATAAAACTCAGACTAAACATGTGAAAACAGTCAAAATACATTCGCTGAAAACCAAACACGTCTGCAAATGGTATGAAAAATGCACTAAAACACTACTATACAACTTACAGATCTGACACAGACAATATACTTCAAACATTCAGTCTGAGCTCTTCTAACACAAATCTGTCCTCTCCCATATTGGTAAGGTCATTGTAAATCCATTCATTCCTCTGTTAATTCCCCAAATTGTACTTTTCACAATGATTAGAGCCACATGCTTGTGAAAGGTGCACAAGAAAAGAAAGCAGAGTGAACTTGAGTGTGGTAGTCGACCAGCAATGCTTCATTTAAAGTTTAAATGAACTGTGTAATGCTTGTAAGTGTGGTGGGACTTGGTCACCTGTCACTTAGATGGTGAAAGCTGCTGCTCTCATCTGGGTGGTCTTCTTCAAAACTCAGATTGGACCAACTACCGAGACTGTCATCACCAACACTCAAACTGAGCTGCTGACTCACTGTTGACTCCGGATATCCGTCTGCAGGTTCTGAAAAGATCATGATAGGCTGTATGTATGATTCTGTGAAAGCTGTGTCACTTTACCCAAGATTGATGGTTTGGCAGACGTTGGACAATGCGGATGTCATAATCTCTGTGGTGAGACTTTCTGCAAAGCTTGCGCCATCATGACCGATCCCACTGTCTGCATTCAGACTGGTGCAGCTCAGTTCCTTTTTGGCTTTCTCAATGGCACTGGACACCATTTCTTCAGCAAAAGCTGCTCTTTTTTCCAAATCAATGTGTATTTTTGGGATTTCCAGTCCAGTCACTGCATCCGATTCTCGTTGCCTCCTTATTTTCAGTCCCTGGAAACCACGACGACCGTCTCTACTGCAAAACAGGCAATCTCGTCCTTGGCAGTATCGACAGGCTTCATATGCCTCAGCCAGCTTTTCTGTGAAGGAATTGCTTTCAAGTGCCCTCCTGTCCCCCGCTGCCTGAACACATGCTGGACCCAGCGTTATTTCCAAAGTATCATCAACAATTTTCCTGGCATAATGTTCAATCACTTGCATTACATCATTGTTGCTTTTGCCATCATTTAAGCTGCTTGTACTATGGTAGAGCCTGTTAGTTTCTGTGCAAGGTAAAAGAGAGCATGAAAATTTATTTTTGATGAGATTTTCCGGCATGTCCTCAATAGTGGATTTCCTGTAGAGGCAAGAATCAGTGAGCGATTTTGGCAGTCTAACTGAGCTCATTCTCAGCTTTCTCGTAACGTCACATGTGATGTTGTAGGCCAGCGACTCTGCAAAGTTCACAAGTTCTACATATTCATTACTGCTCAGGTCTTGAACGTCTTGACAAGCACATGGCAGAGATTCACAAGAGAATCCATCTTTTCCATCAGTAAGTGCAGCGTGGGATGACTTGGATATGGGAATTTGGGAAACATCAGGACTACGATCATAGTGTAAACGCCTAGATGAGTGAAGCCTCAAAGGAGATCTCTGCTTTATTTTTCGAGCTGCATGAGCCAGGCCAGATTTAATAGATCGATACGCCAAGCGAGTGGCGTACTGATCCAATATAAGCTCTCGGTTGCCTCCCTCTTTCTTGAGCACCTTAATGAGGTATCCTGCATATTCATCAGTGACACTCTCGCAACTTGGATACTCTGATGACATCCCACTTGAACTGCCACTCACTTGGATGTCACCAGGCCACTGACAAGTCAAATTTCCCAAAAGACCATCTCCACTCTGACGTTTGTCTGCAGAGTTCACAGATCCTCTTTTTATTGTTTTGTGACGACAGTGGCTTGAACTCATCATCTTCTTGACATCATTGATGACTTCTCCAGCCACTTCTCCAGCGTATGTCCACAAAGAATTTAAAGTCTGCTCTGAGAACTGTGCGCAATGCAAGGCAACACTGCCCTTGCTTTCGTCACCCACTGGCTTCTTCACATCTCCAAGGCTTAATGTGTCCATCTCAGTGGCCATGGAAACAATGTGGCACGCTAAACGCTCTGCATAATGAAGCGCACTCCTCTCGATCATTCGGCTCCTGACGTTGGGATTCAACTCTGCTTGGCAGTTTCTAGAGTGAGGGTTATCTTCCTGGTCCTCCTCCTCATCTTCATTGCTGCCAGCTTCTTCAGAGAGAGACCTAATGAGTTTCAGCATAAAATCGGCCTTGTCTGAAATGGAACCTTCTTCTTTGGTGTCGGTGGCAGGCAGGTAATAAGGGGTGGGTGGAGGAGTCGCAGGAGAAAATTCTTTTGCAAGCGTACCTTTGAGCTTCTTCGAGAACTGTCTGATCTGTTTCTCACTGTACTCGTCTGATGGCTGCTGAGGACTTGAGGGTGGGGTGCTAGGGATTTCAGACGATTTTGTTCCAGAGTTGCTGCTTGAAAAATCATCTGCACCGACTTTTCTACCACCACATGAGGCAACTTCAAAAGTGGGCACTTCCAATGTGTCCATTCTCATTACAGAACGGACCTCTTGGGTGAGCCTGGAGACTGGACGTACACTTCTGGAGGATGGGTCACAAGAGCCCTTTGACATCAAGTGAAAGGGAATCTGAGAGGGACCTCTCTCAGTCGATACATCATGTGAATTACCACTTCCATGGCTTGGAGTGGATATGCGAACTGCTATTGTTTTGCTCAAAGAGTCTGCACAATCCTCTACTTTCTTCTTTACTTTTGTTGAAGAATGCATAAGATTGAATGCCTCACCTACTATAGTGTCCACCATATTCCCAGAAAAGTTCTGAAAAGTCTTTCCAATCGAGGGTTTGCCGGAATCATTTTCAACGGATGGATTGCCAACAACTTCCCCACCACTGGCATCCTGGATTCTTGCAGGACCTAGTGATGATTCAGTCGGAGTTGCTTCAGAGGTATCTGAGGTTGAGGATGCCACTTCCCCTTGGCAACAAATGGTTCTTTTAGGAATGGTCTGACATACGTGACCAATGCTGGATTTATACGGAGAAGGTTCATCGGAGTTGTGCACATGGGCTATGACCTTGCCAGCCACAGGAACTGGA